ATTGGTGACAGCTATTCAACTATGTTATTTTTTCTGACTTAACCTTCATTGTGACTTCGACCTCAACATCTCGCATTTACCTAATCTTAAACAAAGAATCAAGGCAAATTTCTTTTCGTGTTGCATTACAATGAACCCTGTGCAGTGCATTCATGTCCCATGGACATGTTTTTAGTTTTTAATGATTGATATATTTTTGGTTTACTCTTGAGGAATTTGGCTTGATGAATTAGTTGGGTGCTTCAGGTGTTTCACATTATAGTTTAATTTTGTATCTTCCTCTTTATGAAGTATCTTACCAGACTCCATATGCTAGGACAGCAATTTCAAAGTTTGTGAAAGTCAACTGTACATGTACTTACTCTGCTGCATCAATAACAATTGAAGATGCAGTCCATTATCCGAAGGACTTATACTTAGGTACATGTAATTGTATATATGTTAATATGCAAAATATCATACACGGGTGCTCCTTTGAACTATAACTGACCAATGTGCAAATTATCTTTAAAAAATTGACCTTAGTTTACATTGATATTTCTTATATTTTCATATTTCAGAATACAAGGAAAATTCTTTACATCTGAAAACAGACCGTGCCTAGTACCACCAGATTTAAGGTCAACACGTGTAATAAGAACCGTTGCATCTTCATAGTTTGAACCCCGGTCACAGTATCATTACAAGAATTGTGCAAGCTAAGGAATTGGCATAAACTTTTGCTCTGCTATAACTTTTTACTACAGTACCTTTATTCCAGCACCAAGAGAAAACTAGAAACTTTGACAAATCATATCTGTGTCTGTTCTATTCAGTAATTAATATGGCATGTAAATCTGAGATAAATAAAAAGTAGCATTAAAAAAAAATAAATTTCAATTCAGTATCTCTTTAGTGCATGGGCAAAAAAAATTTTGGTAGTAAAATACCATAAACGTGTAGTTCGGTGACTTGTAAAAATACATTTCATTTGTAAAATATACTCATGTAAATTTTGCTACAGGTAACCTGTGTATTTAAAAATACACACATGTATATTGTAACAGGAATAAATGAAGTACATGTACTGATTGCTATCCAACTTATGAGTGTAGCAATTTAAAAGAACAAAATACATCACTTCCTCAGAAATATAAGGAGAACATAGAGACATGATGTACATGTGACAAGAATATAATATTGAAGTTAAGTTACTAAGTGTAACTTCTTTCAAAAGAGGGGCTTGCAAGTTAACAAGACGAACATAGTTGAAATATCTGTGATAGTAGACCAGAAATGAAGTATTTCAGTTTTTCATCCTTTCAATGGCACATGGGAGTGATACTGTATCCTGGCAATTTTAAAGTACAATTCAACCTCTGGTTAAGTGAACTCACCCTTGATGAAAAGCAGGTATATTTAGACACAGCCCTTGCAATTGAGGTAGTTGATTGTGAAAGATGAATCTTTTATCAGATAAGATAAGGACTCCTGCACTGGTGTTTTTTTCCCTCAACTTTTTTTTGGAGAATTCGAACCTCACTATGAAGAACTAAGGCAAATATCTGATGCTGAGCCAATATTAGCTTTGAGCAATATGTTTTGAAGCCAATCGAAGCTACATATACAAGTGAGAGACTTCACATTATGATGGTTTTTGTAAGACCTGTTAGCCATAGCCTAAAGGACAAAGCATGGTAACGGCCGAATCTGGCCCTTTATTTAATTTGATGTAAGAATCAGAACACAGTTAAAATTGTGATAGTTTGTAGTTAAGAACTTAAAATGATGCTTGTTTTAAAACCAGCACTAATTTTGATTCAAAGCTTACACGAAGGCCACAAGAGGGTGCAAAAGTAGGACATTTTCTCGCATTTCCTCAATTCTGGTCAAATTTCGTCAAATTTGAGATACATTTCACTTCGGAAAACATAGAGCACAAGCTTGCCTATCTGAGATTTTTATATATAAGATGCATCTGATACTAGTGTATGAAATATATAAATTTGGTAGATAGGCAAGCTTGTGCTCTATGTTTTCTGAACCAAAAATAACTTAGAACCAATACTCATTTTGTGGCAGGGGTGACAACAGGTTTTTAACTGATAAACTGTTGCATCATGCTAAAAGACTCCCCGAACCGGGTGCCAAAAAGGGGTCTTAGCCTATCTTGTCCTTTTGATATGTGATGGAATGTCTTGTGTCATTTCAATAGCATCCATGGAGGCTCTAGCTGATACAACTCTGCAAAAGATTTCGGCAGTGATCCCTTGCATTTCTATCGACAGAAAAAAAAAACAGTGGATTAAGTTAACTTCCTCAAACAAGTTACAACACTCCATGTAGGGCATGTACATTGTTATAAATATGTTAAAAATGATTGGGAGGCTTACAGAAAAATCTGTGAGATAAGTCTAGGTCACAAAGGTTAAGCATGAGTTGCATCAAGTTGGACTTCAGTTCTAGCAATCATGAATTGACCAATCACCCGCATAATATCTCACGTCAAATCTAAGCAGTTGTCTTATTACATGTGTAATACATTGAAAAAAATCATATGGCAGTGATGTATACAGCAGGAACTGAAAAAAAAACATAAAAAAGATAGACTGTAGTTGCCAATGTTAAAATTAGAGAAGCCTTCTAATCACTGTACACTCATTTAAATGTAACTTGAGTATTTCAAATACTTATTTAATTATGCTGGAAGTAGTCACCCTATTTAATATGACAAAAATTTGTTCTGGTTTTTTAATCACCGATCAGCTCTTTTATAGGAAAAGAAAAAAATGTTGAAAAGCTAGACTATCGGGTTTCTTTAGTAATCAGTTGATTTTCGAAGATGTGAGGAATTCATCCTATTTATTACATTGATATCTTCCTAAACATACCTGCATACCTATTAATCCCCATAATACTCTTTTCATTGTATCAAAATGAAAGAAATGACAGTCCGAATTGATCCACGTACAAAATTGCATCACCAGGTACTTTCGTTATTTTTAACCAATGAAAATTGTCCTTACTTTAATAGAACATTCTTGCGTCATATTACCCACAATGCAATTATTGCACATACATCACAAGATTATAGAACATACAACACAAGATTATCGAATATATATCACAAGATTATCGAATATACATCACAAGATTATAGAATATTCATCATAAGATTTCGAATATACATGTACATCACATCATATTGAACATACATCACAAGATTTTGAACATACATGTACATCACAAGATTTCCAAATACATCACAAGATTGTCGAACATACATCACAAGATTTTAAACATACATCACAAGATTTTGAATATACATCACACGATTTTGAACATACATAACAAGATTTGGAACAAACATCACAAAACTGTGAATATACATCACAAGATTATAGAAAAATACATCAAAAGATTTCGAATTTACATCACAAGATATTGAACATATATCACAAGCTTCTGAACACACAACAGGAATTTGAAAATACATCACAAGGTTATCGAATAAAGCAACGTTTTACGCACCATAGTATCCATAATACAATATCATAAGAATAAAAGTATAAAAAGAATAGAAAATATTATCAATCTTTATACATAAACTGTATTTATACAAATACATGATGGAAATTTGTAAAAATAAAAAATAAATAAATAATAAACAAATACATATAATAACCTATGACAATCGTTTTTCAGTACTGGTTATACATTTGCATACAAAATAAACTATAAATGAATAATAGTTTGTTTTTTTTCTTGCAATTCACAGGAAAAAAGTGTTTTGCGGATATTCAATCAGCAGATACCGCACCAATCACAGTACAATATTCTACTAAATCAGGAAAGTATAAAGAGCAGTTAATTGAAAAAAATTAGAACAACAAAAGCGTCCTCATCGTGGGCGACAACAACAACTGGACAATTGGTGTACATGATCTAAGACAAGACAACAAATGTCATACGCAGCATGCCTTTGGATCTGCTGCAGTAGCCCAGAATATCTCATTTGATCATCTATCATATACATACCCACAGCGAGAATTTTGTTCAACACCAATTCAAGCATTTTTACCATCTCCCGAAAAAAAACGAAGTTTTAACCAGGGAACTTGGATTAGTCTTTAAAGATTGGCTTGATCTCTGTAAAATACCAAATAGAGATCGGGGTCTCTGTCTTACAGAGAAATACCGTTCTCATATTTAAAAGTAACAACAATCTATCCAAATATGCATATGAAATTATGAGGTTACTTGTACATCAAACATGTATTTTATCAGAGAAAGCTGCAAACGAAGAGAGTTATGGTTTATTTGTCAACACCACAGGTAAACTAAATGGACACATTCCTGCAGATAGAAGAATTGAGTATTTGGTCATAATAGTAAAGGAACATAAAAACATGTTTTCTAACAAAACAGAAAGAAATGTTAGAAACAGTGCCATACCATATCAAACATCAAAGAAATTGCTGAGCATTATGAAGAAATCTCGGATGTTGTCGAAAGATCAAAACGACATTCAGACAAATTAGCTGTTGGTGACGAAAGGGCGCCAACACGAACAGTTCTCCGATATTCAGGCTTTATCATCTGTAAATATTAATATGACTTACTACCATCGTCGGATCGAAATTAAGAAGCTCCAATTTTCCGATGAATATGGAAATTAATTGGATTTTAGTACATTCTGTATGATTTCAAATATGTTGCTCAAAAAATGAGGTTGCAAGTGACTAATCTTCTGCTTTAAACAAACTTTATTTACAACATCTTCAAATAAATTGATAAGGTCTGTTAACAAAGAATGGGAGAGACCAATAAATATGACTGGATTAGGAATGTCCAATTGACTGTTTTCAGCATCAAAATACGAACTTAGAACTTAGACAAGCGATGTAGAAATGTTCGGGGTTTTTTTTACTAGATGCTGTCGACTCCATTGCTACGTCAATTTCGATTTTATCAGTAATGGCGACAATACATTTTTCACATTGGCACTTTAGTTTACAACGCAACATGTATGTGGTGTCATATTTTGTTCATAATAAAATCCTAAGTGGTCAGTGAGAAATGTTCGCCTGCATGTTTTTAGCACCCAAAACTGTTAGACTTCTTTCATGTTTTTGACGTTGCTTCCTATTTCACTGGCATTATAAAATAGAGTTTCGATGCACTTGGCTCCATCCCTTCCACCTCTTCTTACCTCCTGCAAGTACGCTGTAATCAAAAGTCATATTGATTGATTAGAAATTAGTAAATTTATTGACAGTGTTTTTTATTTGTCTGTTAACCTACTTCAATAATTTGCAATTATGTTTTTAAGATAAACATACTTTCCAGTTTTGATGGGGAACCAAAATGTGTGATTCGCCGAATATTTGTTACATCTGTTCCCATGCTGTATGCCTCTGTAGCAAATAGAAGCTTCAGTTGGCTAAATGGGTCACACATTAGGTGAATTGTCTTTTCCTTCATCTTGAAATGAGTATATACATGTACAAGTAATTGCTAAAATGATTTTTTTTAGATGTGTTCATTTCTTTTAATTAAGATTTAAAAAAAAATAATATTGACTTTTTCTAAAATACCTTAGTGGTGCTTGGTGCATGATATTGCGATACTACATTCATCACTTGAGAAAAGTCTTCAAGGGATATTTTCATTGCCTCCCTTCTTACAAGCTCAAATCCCGTGGCACAATAATTATAACTGTTCTTTCAAATTTGGAAATTGTAGACAGAGCTGAGAAATAATGGGTTTTACCCTAACAAAAATTTACTATAGTTAACCATAGTTCACTATAGTTAACTAGAGTGAAAACTATGATACTTTGATTTACTATGAAACTTTACTCTGGAACTTTATTTTGAGATTTCAAAACTTAAAATCTAAAATTCGATAACAGTAATGTAAAATTTGGAAATAATGTTTGAATATACAAATAATATTTCAATCTGATATAAAAATATGCAGGTATGAATTGAAAAACAAAAAATATAACGCTCTGAAATCTATAGTAAAATACTTTGATTTACTATAGTGAGAAAACATTGATACTACAGTAAACTATAGTTAACTATATTTAACTATAGTTACAATGTAACTATAGTAAAGTATAGTTAACTATAGTAAACTATAGTTAACTATATTTAACTATAGTACTTTCTTATTAGGGTAAAGACGTTTCAAAGCATTCTTCTGCTGTGTAATGTTCACCGGTACCTGTTGATGAACCCCTTTAGGTGACATTTATATTTATGTTTTGTGCGAATAGTTTTACCTGATATTGTTAGGAAATTTTTGGACATGCATAAATTCTCTGCGATTTCTTTTTGCATTTTAATTGTTGCAGTGGCCTTTAGGGCGACGAATTTAGCATTTGGAAAGAGGGACCTAAAGTTTGAAAATTGTGGAAATTGTGATCAAAAATCGTGCCAACAGCTCTTGACCAATCAGCCTCATCAACTACAATGTGTCATATCATTGTATTTATTTTGGAGAAATTTACAAATCGTGTTTTTCCATAATAAATGCTGGGTGTCCAATGATGTATACAGCTTTTCCATCCAAAAATTTTTTACTCTCTCGTTTTCAGGACCTGGGCTTAATTCTAAAAAAATGAATGCTTGGTAATGATATTGCATAACGTGCTTAAGAGATAGAGAGAGATATATATGATCGTACCTTTCTTTTCAACTTCATTTATTAATTTCCCATCAATTGTCAGAACCCTGTTTCCTAATTTTGCTGAATGTTCTGTAATGGAATTTAATATATCAATCTTTGTGTCATATATTTTAGGCAGCACCTGGTAAATTAAACTTTTCCCGTAGCCAGTCGGCAAAAGAAGAGTATCGATTTCCAAGCACTTTTAATACCCTTTCTTTGTAAAGGTTTCGGAAAATTTAATGTAGAAATATCTTTCACAATTTATTTTTTGTACGCAGTGAAAATTCCAGCTGCAGGTACCGATAATCATCCATAATATAGCAATTTTGCACTCTGTGATGCGTTTTGCTTTCCCCAAGATATTTAAACTCTACGTCAGCGAGAGTTTTTATCAGCTTATTATGAGCGGCTGGCAGAGAGCTCTTTACATCATTGATCAGCTGTCTGTATATAGCGCATATCAGAAAGGAAAGGCCAGTCTAGACCAACACCCTCCTGTGAACGAGAAATTACGGCAAAGTTTTTGTCATAATTCAAGGTATGCATTTTTTCCATGTATCAATAATGGTTTTTAGAGAGTGTTCATAAAGTGACTTAGCAGCAATTCTTGAGTTAAACATTAATTCATCAACAGATCATATGTACATACATAAATCCGAGATTCCTCTGTCTCTAACCTATGGTTTTATTTTGTGATATGTGCATGATATTCTGACTTGCAAAGGCCTGAAAATTAAAAATCTGACTTCAAGTAATCCCCCCTTCCCCCTCATTATCTCCCCAGCACATGTTTAACAATATAAAAGCAGGTGTTAGAGCATACATTAGATTCCATGATTCGAATAAAAAATAAAATTAGGCCTGCTGCATCTAATGTTGTTAAGTATTTTATATACCCAATGCCATCTACTAACGATGTTGACATAATAGTTATAGTCATATTAATTAATGATCAAACAAATCATACATGTATAATTAAGAAATTGATCATAAAACATTTGGATCAAGTTAGGCTGAGATCCACCATTTTGACGCCCGATGTGAAAACTAAATTGTACTTTTTATTAAAGATGATCAAGTCAGTTTGGTAAACAAATTAGCAAATAATTTAAAAACTTAGCAGTTAGCAATATACTCGTATTTGTCATTTATGAGTAGGTTTCTACGGAAACATTTTATATGTGTCTAATTTTTCAAATAATTCCAATTAATGGTACACTACTATACATAAACAACCACCCTAAGGATAAAATTAAAAATTTGACCAGCATACTTTTCTTATCATTTGATAAATATTGTATAAAGTAAGATAATGTGATGCGCTAATGACAGTTTATTGTACCTTAATTAATTTTTTTAAGAATGTGAATTAGAAAGAATGGGAAATAAATTCATGTATCTTTATTATAACAGCGTTTCTGAGATATTGAGATATGGACCCCCGTACCAGTGCCCAGGACGTAATGCGATGTGACCTGTGTGAGACTGCTGGAGTACAGATGTACTGTCATACATGCCTTGTCAACCTGTGCGTAGATTGTGTAGGAATTCACTTTTCAGCTGATCTCTCTAAACAACATAAAATTGTTGATTTCAAGGCTAGGAAATTTACTTTGATTTACCCGAAATACATGTCACATGAGGTGGAAACATCTGAAATGCACTGTTATCAATGTGACATTCCTGTCTGCAACACTTGCATTGCATCTCATCCAGGGATGGGCACGATTACTGAAAAATGTAATCGATTAATAATCGATTACTTGGAGGAATTTTGTGTAATCGATTAATAATCGATTACACTCATTTTTGTCCTGTAATCGATTGTAATCGATTACTTTGGAAGATGTAATCGATTAATAATCGATTACTTCCAAGTTTTTATCCCTTCAAATATCAAAGCAATATATATTTAAATGGTAAATGTTGATGTTAGCCACTGAAGTTTGAATGTGTTCCTGACCTGCAGTTTCAGTACAGATTCTACAGATTAAGGTTTTATTCTGGCTAACATTCTCACTAAATGCCCAAATGAGGGATTCTCTACCATGGAAAGTGGAGACATGATTCCTACAATAAAATATGCCAAGGAATTAATTAATATTCCTTTCAACCTTGGATATCTGAACCTCCACATTTATTGACTTGTTGCAAAAATTATTTAATATTTTATTGTGAATTACTTCATTAGAAGTATTTGGGCTGCCCGTATGTTGACAGTACATATTAAACATTCCTGTGCGTGTCTTTTTCAAAAAAGTAAGTAAATTAGAACTCTTAGTAATAAAAATGTAAATTAAGTGTGTCTTTAAGTAATGAAACAAATAGCACAATTTCATTCTGTATTGAAATAAATGTTTTGAGAGCTATTAATTGTTTTATTAATATTGTTTGTCTTCAATGGAATAAAAGTTAAACACTAGGTAGTTCACAGTTTACACCTCATTATCTGCAAATGTCTCAGTCAATTAATTAGCCAATTAAGATAAGCAAACAAAGTGACACACACCCTCTCTTACAGACACTTATAACCTCTCACTGATATAAAAGCAACCTTACAAGTTGGAATGAAAACATGCGAATGATTTTGCAAATTTTAAAGTTACTAAAACACAAGTTTGAGGTTGTTTTTAAACATTTTCAGAAGTATTTCCATCTTCTTTTTTCGAGTACAATATACTAGTAGTTTATTTACCAAATTATTTATGTTTAATACAGCACTTCAATCTGTTTTTGCTATTTATAATTTTCTATTACAAGACAAAGTTTTTCAACATCTGAAATATGAAAAGGGACATGCAGCAAGAGGACAGTGGTTCAAATGTAAAATGCACACGAAAAATCTGTATATTTTATTAATAAATGGTTGAAATACACTTCTGAATTATTAAATACTAGACCAGTAGGTCTATAATGCAAAATTTATTGAGAACATCATTAAACTTATAATAATAAAAGTTAGGAAATCCAAACATTACACCAGGTGGTTTATATTTTATATTAAATTTTTATGTGTGACTGACTGGAAATAATTCTCCAAAATAACATCCATTTATGTATAAAATAATCGAAAGTAATCGAAAAAGTAATTATAATTACATTGAAAATTTTAGCTGTAATCGATTAAATTACGATTACAAGTAATTGAAAATCTCTTCGATTACAGATTACTGTCGATTACTTGAAAAAAAGTAATCATTACAATCGATTACGATTACTCGATTACGATTACCCCATCCCTGATCTCATCAACACCTTGGTCATAAATTTTTGAAAATTTTAGAAGTCTTCAGTAAAAGAAAAGAAGAGATTATTAAGGAACGTACAGAATTAAATGAAACGATTTATCCAGCCTACCAGGATATCGCATGTGATGTAGAAAGGAGATTAAATCCCTTACTAAAAGTATACGAAAAGCTTTCAACAGCCATAACAAAACAAGGAGAAATTTGGCAAAGGGAAATTAATGCTCTAGTCATTAAACTTCAATCAAAAATTGACGAAATGAAAAACAGACAATTAGAAACTTTGCAGAAACATTTTGATGAAATAAAGCAGAAAATTTCGGACATCCAGGATGAAATCAAGCCAATCGATGTTGCTTTAAATTCTACAAATATTTCTGAAGTGTTCAGTATTTTAAACACAGTGGATAAATACAGAAAACTTCCGAAGAAACTCGTATTTGTTGTCCCTGAATTTTCTCCCAATAAAATACAGGAAGATCAATTGTTTAATTTTAAGCCTGGTATTTTAGAAGAGCATGAAAACAAACTTGTGACGAAATCAGAGTTACCAGAAGCTGGATCCTCTCCTCCAGTAAAACAGCTGCTTGAGGAACCAGAGACTGTCGCCACGATAGACACTGGGTATATTATACTTTACAATGTGGCCTGTCTCAGTGATGAAGAAATCTGGACAAGAGGAGATGACATCACCATGAAACTCTACAGCATCAATCAGGGATCACAACTCAAGTCAATTAAAACCAAGTCAGGGAA